TCGATTCGTAAGAATCCAGTTTCTGTTTAATAATATTCGAATCCTCGTAGTCTGTGTAACAGAAGAAAGAAAAATTTTCCATCTGGGTAAAATGTACTATGTACATCGTCTCGATACACGAAATATTCCGAATATTTTACCTTTCATTTTCTTCTCTATTTCAATCTTTGCTGTCATTTCTGGAAGAACGATATTTAGTATGCAAATCGGCTGTTGAGGCGGTTCTCCTTTAGCGACTTTCGGTTCTCGCATGAACAGCATTCTAGCGACCGGATCTAACAACGGATCTTTCACTTTAACGTGAAACGATAAACGATTTTGACGAAAAGCTTTGAAGGTGAACTTCAATTGTACACCCGATTTCGTTACAGGTACTAAATTTCCACTGAACTCTATATAAAGATCTTTCCCATCGAGCGCCTGTAAAAATACAACGATTAAAATGACATTGCTATTATCTCTGAACAATTTTGTTTAAATTAAAAGAGTCTTATTTTTTCAGTCAAGTTTATTTCAATGTTTATAATAATAATTGTGTATTTGTACGCTGTGTCGGTAAATTATCAGCATAAATTGTTGTTTTTTTTTTAAATATATTTCTAATACTTTTGGTGTATAATTCTCTTTGTTTTCTTTAAGGTATTTTGTATTACATCTTACGTTTCGTTTATTTCTCTATCTAAATAATGTTGCAGATTTAAAAAGAAATGGAAATTTCGTGAGAAGAATGTTTTTTAAATAAACAGTACATAATCCATGATATTTTTGCGAGTTACGGTGCTTTTTGTTATTTCAATAAAACAGAACGCATCGCTTTATTCTAAAGTTATTTCGATGACTTAAATAATTTAATTAATTCAAATTATGTATTGTTTAATATAACATTTTTGTCGTTATGAGTAATAGACACAAAATATTCAATTCAGTTTCATATAATATAGTATCTATTTGACTTTCGATGTTCATATAATATCGAAGAATAATTTTTCTTTCATTATTTCGATATTAAACATCTAAACGTGCTTCAGGTTTTAACAATATATTAATATTATTAAGTCAATTTCGTTCTTTACTTCCCTTTTTTTATTTTTTAATATTTAGCAAAAATGCGAGGGAATTATCATTAATTGCTACGTAACATTACGTAGAAGATTCGTGTTTCTTTTAAAATGGAGATCCTCTTAAAAGATTTAAATGACGTTACTGAAGCTTAATATATGTAAAAATAAAATGACATACTAAAACAGGCTGTACAGAAATAATTAACAGCGAAATCGTTGAAAGGAACCATGATTTATCGATGAACTTTGTTCAAAATGAAATAAAATGAGATGGAATGATTAAACAAAAGAGAAAAGTATTGCACAGTATTATAAAAAAATATATTTAGATATTCGTTAGGATATTTTTGATAATGAAATAAAATTATATAATGAACAATATTTACTTCAACATCTCGGCTTTTTACAATTTCGACAAATTCCTCTTGCTTCTCCAAGGTATGCATTCCCTCCTTTCCGTCGGTCATACACAATATCCTTAATGTTGCTTCAAGCATATCCATTCGTTTGGAATATATTACAAAACTGTGTATGAAAAAATTACTTCTTTATCTACTGAAAAATAATTAATTTAACGAAATCATTTAACAACGTTGATACGTACTTCGTAATATATGGCACAAATAAGGATTCTTCGTACAATTCAGTAGCCATTTTTGGTACTGCGCCTATATTACGGCAATCCATTAGCCAAAATCGGGCAGAAACGGTTGTAGTAAAGGACACTGTGTCGTTCATAAAAGTTAATGGTGTCGAGCCGGTAACATCTTCCCATTGCGATTCACTAGTACCTCCTGAATTTAACATGAAAAACAAGAACGTAAAAAACAATAAATGTTAACATTACACCATTAGCTGGTAGTTGTAGACATAATACTAATTATCGACGGGATCACTTATCCTTCCAAAGTCCAAAATCTATGTTTAAAACACTTTTTCTGTCACTACAGTATTTACAACGAACATAAAGAGTAAAATATTTCCATAAGATATCTTCTCTTTTAACTGCGCCTATATTATGGCAACCCAAACACAGTGGAATATCTCAGACGGAACTGAAGCTATCGAAAAAAGGTTCTTACAAAAATTGTTTGCTATCATGTGGTGTAAAGTTTCTTCGCGGGTAAAATAGTGAAGAAGATTTCAGGGTCAAGATTATTTTTTTAACCCGTTGCCGTATAATAACGAGTCAGACTCGTGCCACAGATTTTGGTCAAGATCTGATAGAAACAGTTACCTCAGTAACAAAAATTAATTTTAATTCTAATTTTCGATTTAATTTGTAAAACTGAAGATTACCAAATTTAATTAATCTATAATAAATCGGATTTTCTTACTTAATGTAGTACTAAAACAGTAAATAGCCGACGCTTAGATGCATAGTCAGGAAAAGAAATCATACGTCAAGGGGTTAAACGGAACGTTATATTTTTCTATTCTTAATTCTTCATAACAAACGCTGTTATATTATAAAAAATATACATAGCGTTTCGTTAGAAGAAATTAACTTCATCTTGAAACCTTCCCCACTACATCAATCGCGGAGAAGCTATTTATATTAAATTATGTCATACCAAATAACTTTTCTAAGAATATTGTTTCGATAGCTGCAGTTCCTTCTCACATATTCCGCATCGTGTCCAGTTAAAAAAAGACACCCTGTATATGTATTTTTTACATTTGCAAAGCCAAAAATGTGGAGCATTTAAAATAACGTATTATACTGTAAATCCTAGTTGTATAAAAGTTTATGATTATTCTTATACAGGTTATGATTATAAATTCACAATCATCTAGAAATAACAACGTGCAAATGAATACGAATGAAAATAAAATACTTGGGAGATTCGAATTATTACACCACTTTACCTGCAATACTACATAAAAGGCGTAACGTTGGCGTTTCGCCCCCATATTGATTGATCATTCCTTTATTCGCAGCTTGTGGCACAGGTATTGTAAGAGTAATCGGCTTATGAAACTTTCGTCTTCTTGGTTCGATTGTTATTACAGGAGAAACGGCAACACAATTGCCTAGCAATTTTGCTGTAAGTTCTGCCGGAATTACGTGAGCCTGTAGAAAAATATGTTTACGTTTCATTAATTATCTTCGTATAAAAAAAAAGCACATCACACAGGGACGTTGCAGCGAAACTTATGTCAAGTTCACTTGCCTGCAATCCAACTTTAATCTTCTTCGTTAACGCTCCTGGCGGGAAAACTGCTTGAACGTCGTTAGCTACGCTTGATGTTAAAATTCCACCCTCAGCACCGATCACATGAACCTCCTGTTTAATCCTCGTGATAATTGCAAAGTATTGTGGAAAATCTGTTGTTATTATACGAGTGATTCTGCCAGAATGAGCAGCGCTCATTAGAGGATCTGCAAAACGGAAGCCACATTATATCCTTCGCATTTCATTACTTCCGACGATAAAGAAATACGCGAGCAACGCTTCGTATTACGAAAGTACCGAGTGGAGTATTTAATAAAGTGGTATCGTTATCGGCAGAATTATCGTGCTCTTTCCAAGTTTCTCCATTTTCACTCCTGAGAATAATGATTTCCCTCTCCTTGCCTCGGATAGATGCGAAATGTGGTATATCGATTAAAACAGGCCTAAAGTGATACGAAATCTTCTTTCTTTATAGTGAAACAAATGGATTATTATGTGGAACACGTTAAGTAGAATAATGTTTACCCCAAAAACGTTGCACCAACTGGTCCCATTTCTATAATACGCGTCGCTAAAGCCTCTCCCTCCATTAGTGGAGGAGGATTCGCCACTTTGTTAGGTTTTATCAATCTGCACGTGACACGAATTGGCATTGTCGCTCTTCGTGGCGGTACAATAATACGTACACCGCTATGCCTACATCCTTTCATAGCACCTCCACGTGCATCCACCAAGAAACTCACTAAAAATCTAAAAATTAAAGTGTCTTCTTTTAGCGAATCTTTCAATACACCTTTGCTATAATTAAATTATGATAAATGGTAATTAAATAAAAATGCGCACATTTCTCAATTATTTTCAAATAATTGCAGTCTGCAATCAGATAGCTACAAAGAAAATTGAAATTGAAAATATAAGCAAGATTAATATGATCTGTGTTTTTTCTTTCTTTTGCTTTATGAAACTCATGTAACACCTGTTCGAATAAATTTTTATAGATTACGAGAAACATTTTGTTCCAATCTCGCAAAGGAGACAAAGATTTGAAAAGAGAAATAATAATTCTTTGGGAAGCTTTGTGCTTCAGTTTCGTGTTAAAAAATATGCATCAGATTCGTAATTTTGTAAAGAAAAATCACAGCAGTGGAACTGGGATTGCAATTCACATTTTCTTGATAATTCTAAACACGTCACATCATCCAATGCATGTATCACTCTCATTAATATTGTATGATTAATTATAATTTCTAAATTTAGGTGAAGTATTGATATTATTTCAAGTGTATTTTAAAAATTAGCAATATAATGTTTAAAAGTTAATTTGAAAGTTAGTAATCGTAATGTGTAATTTATAATTATAAGTTTAATTAACTAATTACACAGGCAAACAGAAAGAACATCTAAGTTAGCAAAATATACCTGTGAGTTTTCTTGGTTAATTATTTATATATTTAAAAATTAGATTTAGTACGACATAAGTTATACAGCATTATTCAGATTTATTTGTTATAGCGATAAAAATTACTTACGATCTGAAATGAAGTCGGCTAAAAGAGAAAATAGTTTGTTTAAATCATTAGTAATTCTCGTATAAAATTTCACATTGCTAATACTATGTGCTCTATTTTATAATACTAGTTTGAACCAATTTATCTTAGCTCTTATTATAAGTAGATAATGTTTACATACCCCAAATTGAATCCGTCGGTATCAAAGTTTTCTGCTAAACAATAATTATTGCTTTGTGTGAACTCTTGTTTCTCTTCTTTTGTGACTAATCAAAAAGTAATTTGAGAATTTACGTGGAGCAATTGCACGTTTGAAAATAAACAATAAATCAATTTTACCTTGTCTATGTATTGGATCATCCCGTGTAACGTCAATAGGTAGAGAATCATCTCTTAAACTTTTCATCAAGTCTGCCGTAAGATATCGATACGGTTGTTCACTGATCATTGCATCTGAACCTATAAACAGATTTAAAATTTTCTTGAATTTCGTTTCGTGGAAATATTTCATTTTTCAAGTTACATTATCTATTGACAGTACCATGTATACATGGCGAGGCACGTAAAGCGTGAGAGTTGGATATTATCGAAAATATGGCTGATACAAACAAATGTTTCTAAGAAAACCTAAAGTATTCTAGGTACAATTTTTCGCGTAATTGAATTTTTTGTACATGAAGGAGTCAAGGACATTTCAAGGTCATCACCATTTTTTCTTTTTGTTAAATGGAATCATATATTTTTTAATACACGCAAGTATAGTTCACATCAAGATGAATTCAACGATTATAGCCACTTAAGGTCAATCAAGGTTACAGGTAAAAAAAAGTTGTATCTTTTCACCTGCATCTCCGCTTGAGCGAACTTACGACCTCGCTACATTTATTTCAACGACTATACATATGTACGTGCCTTAAAGTGCTCTATTACAAGGTGCAATAGAGTTATAAAAAAAATATGACATTTCATTTAATAAAATAGAGTTGACCTTCATATCTCCTCTACGCCTCCACCTACAAAGAAACTATTGGTATCAAATAATGTCTCACTTAAACATTTGCTTGAATATCTTTTTTCTATCACTTTATTCAGGTAGCCTGTTTTAGGTGTCTCGTCTAGTATAGTATTAACCATTTCACTGCTATTGGCGCTTTGAAAATTTGTTCGTATTATGCTATTGGAGTCTCTCGACGCACTTAATTTTATCCTCTGCACTTTTCCACGTTAATTCAATAATACAAATTTTAAAATGATACGGCCAAAAAAAAAAAAAATTTGCAGCCGTTGTGGAACATCTAAATCTGCCACGCGCATTATGTACTAATATTTGCCACAGCGAAAGGGTTAAAAACTGCTACAACAGAACAGTAGTTATATAAATATTGATATAACTGATAGTAGTAACACGAAAATGTCATACCTCCTTCATCATCGGAGTCAGACATAAAGTTAGTTTCTTGTAAACTTTCAGGTGCTATGACTTTGTACTTTTCATCCCAATTTTTATTATCAGGTGCCAACGTATCGTAAGATAGCCCTTTCAGTACTTCCATAACAGATATGTATCCCAATTTTTGAGCTATGTTTAACGCAGTCAAGCCGTCCTGAAAGAATTTTCCTGCGTATATATCCCTTGTGATGTTAATATTGAAGTTTTACAGCTTTGTTACAAACGAACGGATACTAAAATCGTTAAAAACAAAGCAGTAAAATTTTATAAATAATAATATTCATAATGCTTTATAGCAGTGGTGGCTCGTAAGAATTTGTAACGGTGAGGTTGTAGCAATAAAAGTAAAAAAGACCAATGTGGATTGAAAAAATTATAAAGTAATTATTTAGGAAGTAGACTGTCAAGACAGTAGAAAGTCAACATTTTGAAGAACTTTTTCGAAAACAAGAACTTTAATTTTATTACTGGAGGGGCGCAGTCCTTATGAACGAGCCGCCACTGATTTACAGTCGATAAAGTAACAAACTGTAACAGATAAGATATTGTAAAATATATTGAAAAGTTAAAGAGAGTGTAATAATGTTACTCACAGCGGTTCGTGCCTTGTGAGAGGCATTTCCTTCTAACAAAGCAGTAACAATATTGGCATGGCCTTGTTGTGCAGCCTGATGAAGTGGTGTATAATTTTGATTAGTTTTTACATCGATGCTTGCGCTATGTTTTAAAAGAAACCGAATCATCGAGAGATTTCCAAAATGTGCGGCAACGTGTATCGGTCGATAACCAGTTTCAGTATGACTTTCTACGTTCGCGCCATTTTTAACAAGAATATAAGCCACTTTGGTGAAATCTTCTTGAGCACATAGGTGCAACGCGGTGAGACCATTCTGTACGGAAAATAAATGCCATTAAATGTCAATTATGTAGAAGATGTAACTGGAAAATAGAACGTATCTTCTTACGAATGTAATTTTAATCTTCGGCAATTAATTTTGAAAATAACATGATCTTTTTGTAGATACGATGCAAAATAGTTAGAAACTACATAAAATGTGTGAGATATTATAAACTTCTGTATGCTATTATGTTGAAGAAATTCGAATAGTAATTTTGTTAACAAGATCTTAGAAAAGGAATCCGTAACAGAAATTTCATTCGTTTGATTTAACTGCAACGTATCATTTTACCTTTGACTTGTGATTCGGATCAGCTCCGTGTTCGATTAACAAATTCGTCATATCGTAGTGTCCTTTCTGTGCACTCAAATGCAGAGGTGTAAATCCTGCTTTAGATTCGGCATTTGCGTTTGCTCCATTCTCCAAGAGAGTCGAAGCAATATCCATCTAAAAAATTTTCATATTAATCTATTAGCAACGATTTGAAACCATTACGTTTATTGCTATCGTTAAAATACAGTTTCTAAACAGATTGAAAGTATTAAATTTCGCTCAAATTGCAAACAACGTTGTACAGAATAAATCAAAAAATTAATGATCATGGTTTTAAAGGGTGAATCTACATCCCTGGATATTTGTGAAAATCCTTGCCGAAAAATTGTTTAGAACAGTGAAAATTAATGTTAAAAAATTAGATAAATAAAAAAGAAATTTAACATTAATTTTCAATGTCAATGTTTGCGACAAGTTCTTTTTTTCAAATGTCCATCTATCCAGGGGTATAGATTCACCCTCCACGACAGTTGATATTTTTACGTCCTGTATACAGGGTGATAAAAAGAAAGGGTTCGTATTGAATGTCAATCGCTTTAACCGAAGCAAAAAATTGCTTATAAATTTTAGAACATTAATTTCTCAACCTATGTTTATCAGGACTTTTCTTCATCATTCAGCGAGTACCATCTACCTTAGAAGTTATGAACCCTTTTTTTACCACCCTGTATACTTCTCTCTGAAGCATGAATGGTCTTAAAAAAAAATCGACTGCAGGAAGTAAATTCTTTTTGTTACTTTAAATGTCTTATTTAAGAATCATTCGTTTGTAATAACTTTTTACGAAAAAATTGTTACTTATTATAGGTCAATAATTATTTCAGGAGAAATTATCGTAAACCAAGAGAAATAGATTCTTAAAAATTCTAAATTTGACCTTTTTTGTCTGAAATGTTTGTCAGCAATTACTACAGTATTCTTAAATTAATTTCCTATACAACACTCGAAATGTCGTCTATTATATTCTGTACAATCACGTAATAGCTTAATAAATGAGAAAGAAGCCTATTGAATTATTTCTGCAATTATAAAAGTGCATACTATAATGACACGTTCTCATATACATTTGACAGACACTATTCAGTAACGTACGACGAATACTACATTCTTTTAAAAGAAAAATAATGCAATCTAAGTAGTATTAAATTCGGGCAATGGACGGGCCATGAAATTTGTCCGCCATATTTAGTTCACCGATTAGAGATAAACGGTGAAGATTAGGAGTACTACTTGTTAAAAATTATAGAAGATATCAGCGTCACTTTTCTGATTATACATAGAACGGTGACACTTTTTCTACTAACACAAAATGATGACTAAATAAACAACTTATATTTTTGTATTTCTAAATTATGCAAAAAATGTAATTTCTTTTCATCAGTTCTTTAAACTAAGTTAAAGGATAAATAAAATAATAATTAATTTTCAAAGATGAGATAAAATAAGAAATTCTAATATACAGGGTGTTCGCCCTAACGGTTCGATAATATGATAGAAAAATTATTAAGTAAAAATTGCCTCTTCTTATGTAGTTTTGAGAGGCGCAGGACGAAGGATGCAAAAGAGACAGTGATGATCGACAGAGACACAAACCAGGCCTTTTGCGAATTCATGGCGATGTATTGACCATTTTTAATGGGAAAACACCAGAAATATTATGCATATATGGTGGGAGAGAAAGAAAGCGAAGGAAGAGTTTTTCCTTGTGGGTAATGTCAGTGTTAGATAGAGTCGTCAGTGTTGCAGACAGAGAGTGACAGATGGAGTTGCAGTGTTGTAAGAAACGTCAGACTGTTGAAGATTCATGAAGTTTCATTTAAAACAACGTATTTCGTAAGAGAAAATCTCGAGGTGTAACAAGCTTTTAATAGCCTGAAATACAATGGCAGACGTTGAAATAATGAAGTTGCTAATATACAATTTTTAACGTAGGTGGTTAATAATTGACGAGATATTTAATACGCAAGTTATCTCCAATAATTGAAAAGCTCATGCCAAAGAAATACGTAACGCAACTGATAATATACTTGGTTGCGAGTAGTTCAAACAAAGATATTAACCCAGGATAGTTTCGTGCAATATATTTAAGTTTACTTTTGACTTATAATATAAATACATTACCTGATTTTTGCGAGCAGCAATGTGTAGAGGAGTATGTCCATTTTGCGAAGCTAAATGGGGAGATGCTCCTTTTTCTAACAAAAGATTCGCAACATTTGGATGATCATAGTGGCAAGCCAAATGCAAAGAAGAAATATCATTCTGAAATATTTTATACTTTACTGTATTAATAAACATTATATATAATTAGTATAATAGTACAAATTGATCATAGGATGATGTAGGTGTATTAAGTTGCGGTAAAGCAAAAATCAAGCATAAATTATTAACTAAACTTTTATTAATCAAAATAATAAACAATTACAATATGCGTGTAGAATCAAATCAATTGAAACATAATAAACATGTAATGAGAAACATAAAATAAAATACGTATTTAAAAAGGTGTAACAATTCGTACGAACCTTTCCTTGAGCATCCAGCTTGCTATACCTTTGCAAAAGTATCTTCGCAACGCTCATATTACCATATTTAGCAGCGATATGTAACGGAGTAAAACCGTTCTTAGTTGTAGCTTTAAGAGAAGCATTGTTTTCCACAAGAATAGTTGCCACCTGTATGTAAAAATATTTCACTCAAATGATGGTATTTTCAATTTCTTAAAATTAAATTTTCTCCGTTCGTTAGGAAATTTTTCTCTCTTTGGCCAAAATATTGGAACATACTGCACCAACGAAAGATAATATAGGACACTATTTACCTCGTTAAATAGTGTAACTAATTTTACTGTTATCACGTACGTGGAATCGTATTTATCAGTATTCAAATATAAATAATACTTAACCTGCTACGAAAACATTACGCGACAAAAATATTTGTTTCGTAAATTCAAATTATTAAGAATTCTCAATGTCACTGTTCCTTTTTATTTTCTTTGGTCTCCGCTTTTAAGACGATGTCAACAATTTAATCACTAAAATTCCTTAATATCACAATTGTGTAATAAATTCATCTTGTAAGTATACGTATAAAATATCCTATATTGTCATTTTATATTCGAGATTAAACGACGTAATATAAAAAAAAAATACTTGACGCTCGACTAATAAAGAACGCATTTTTACATAAAACACGGAGCATAAGTTATAAAAATGATGGTATAAGATGTAATTTTAACATCACTTTGTTCTCGTGTATTTTCAGATTTTGTGGTGCATATTGTTCAGTTTGTATTTACAGTTAACATCCTATGCATTAAACAATGTGACATTTGCTTACAAAAAAAGAGCAAACTTGATCTTAAAATGTGCTTAACACTTTTATACGAACATCGAAAAAATTATCTTCCTTCAAATTGGATATATTTAGCACTTAAGTCTCGAAACAATTATTGCACATCTGATATCTTCTTAACAATCATCGTGTCAACTCATTTAAATATTTAAAAAATGTTGTAGAGTTATATTAATCACTCAATTAACATTATATTTTTCTTTCATAGTAATTCCACGAGACTAAAAACATTGTTGACAAAATTCAATTATTCACAAATAATATGTTGTTTATCACAAGTTATCCGCAAATGTATAGCTTACCTTCGAGATAATTAGAAACAATAACATTTACAGAAACTCTGATTCTGCAACATTGCAGCAATATTTCGATAACTTCTCCGAATAATTCGACGAGAACTTGTCAAAGCATCTACAGAATCGTCGACGAAAGTAACAGAGAATTAAAGTGAGTCATTTATTTACATTGTACGAAAAATGAAGTGTTTATAATTGTTATTGAATTTCACTGAAAACACTTTAACAGATCTTTCTGATAGAAATGAGTCCAAACTATTTGAAGTCAGTCGTACATTTTACCCCTGCAATATTTTCGTATGACATTTGTAAATTAGTGAAGTATTTACATTACTATATAACTGAAAATAGTCATATGTGGACTCGTTTCCAATATCTTGCCAACCGCTTAAAAACGTTTTAAGTAAAATTCAATAACAACTGTGAACGTTTAATTTTTCACACATTAGCTACTTACTGGATGCATCTTTGCGAGAAATTATCGAAGCATTCTTGTACACAATACAAAAGCGATATAATAAACATGCTACGACTACTATAGTGAAGATGGAATTACTTTCTTCTCGTGCAAAATTACATTTGGGCAGTGAAATGTACAAAACGTAATGAAGTAAGCGGAAAAGTACAGAATAAATCTCTCTACTGTTACCCTCAGTAATTACAAATCTACACTGAGAAAGAGATATTTGTTATCTTACAATACCCCCGGTTCCTTACCTTGTAAAAATCAATTTACACATGTATGTCTAAATGTTAACGTAAATCTAAATACGGGATGACAATAATGATACGAGGTAAATTGATCAGTGCTGTTTCAATGAAAATATATATGTAACGTAACGTAGAAAGAAGGCAACATAAAAAATAATCAATGCGATGAAAAATTTTATTAAAATTCAATACAGATAAACAACTTAACATAAAATATAATGAGTATAAAGAAAACCTTATTAACAAGATGCGAAATGAAATGTAAATGATAAAGAGGAAGGTTCGTAATAACAGAAAATAATAAACTTTTCAATTGCAATTTCTATATAAGGTATTCACGATATCTCGTCCAAAATAAGTATAATCTACTTTGGGTGCTGATGTAATCCGCTATCTTTGAAATTTCTTTATACATTACCTCCTCTTGCCCTTCCTTTGCTGCAATATGCAATGCTGTGTACATATCTTTCGTAGTGGTATCAACAGCAGCACCATGTTGCAGAAGTAACATAACAATGTCAATATTTCCTAATCGTGATGCAATATGAAGCGGTGTTTGCTGTTCCTAAAATGAATCAAGATTATTGTTCCTAAAATTCGTTAAAATTAGCCTGTGATGTAAATTTCTATTAGTAATTATACGCTATACGTAGGTGGTACTAACAACTATTACTATAAACCAGAAACATAATATATACAAATCGATGACAATAATAATAATAATAACAATATATAAAAAAAACAGAGTTAGACTGGTTAATGGAGTGAAGAAAACATTTAATAGTAACAAATACATGAGTGATCATTTATATGTATCGTTTTGTCACAAGGTGCGATTTTTGGAAAATTATTAAAGAAACCTGATGATGTCAGGAAACATTGAATCGTTTTCAAACAAAATACGTTATTTACTTACCCTTGCACGAGCATCAACTTTGGCTCCGTTTCGTAATAAAATTCGAATAATGTCTGTCTGATTAGCTCTAGCTGCCAAATGCAGAGGTGTTTCACCCCTAACAGTTGGCACATCAGGATTGGCTTCGTGTTGCAGTAGAAATATCACGATATTCATACATCCCATAAAACTGGCCACATGTAAGGGAGTTAGTCCAGACTGTAAAATATATGTATTTTCCATTAACATTTTGATACTATAACTCCACGGTTTTCGAACAAATACTTTCTTCTTCAAATTATTTTCTAACATACAATACATAGAAATGATCGTCTGTATTGATCATCAGGAGAGTATTTTTACCCGTTAACCAGTCTTTCGATTACCAAGGAATTAATTGTTCCCTATGATTTTTATGCTGTAAAATCCTCTAAATCTGCTCGTAGTGGTTTCAATTACGTACACACTGAATCTGCGTAATTGTTGTATAAATTATAACTCCTTTCTTTGTTTCATTATTTCAGTTCTAAGTAGGTATATATTCATTTTAAGGAATATTTTTACTTAAATTTACATTTTCATTTCTTGCGAGATAGTTTGGTCTGATTTAAATAAATTATACTTTCAGTGCAATTTTAGCACATACGTGACGTAGTTACTATTTCACGCATCCTTATAGTCAGAAATCAAAATACACGAGTAATCTTTGATTCGTTGAAACGACGAAAAGAACTAGTTTCGTACCTTTGAGCACAATAATTCAGAAAAGCGAAATAATCCTGTGAAAATTAATTTTACCTATTGCCCTTTATTTTCGAAACATGAGTACAAATGTTAATTTCGACTGTTTCAACCAACTTATGCAACTATGCTCAAAATTGTTATTTGTTCAAACGAATGTTTCCGGTGAAAATTAACGATAACCGTATGAACGATACAAAACAAAATTAGAAATAAAAATTTGAAAAAGCTATCCGCATTTTGCAAGTAAACAAAGTATAAATACAGGGACTAATTAACGTAGATAAAAAATCGTTGCTTCTAATTACCTCGGTGGTGGATTCGATAGATGCTCCGTGTTTTAACAAGAGCTCAACGACTTTTATTCGATTCTTCTTGCAAGCGATATGCAACGGTGTGAAGCCATTTAAAGCGCGTGCATTTGGGTCAGCTTTTCGGTCGAGAAGCAGTTTGGCAACTCTAACATGACCGCAGTGTGCGGCAACATGAAGAGATGTTAAATAATCGATCGTGACTTCGTCTACTGGCGCTCGATGATACAACAATACTCTCGCTGCATCCACATGATCTCCTTGCGACGCCATATGCAGCGGGGCAAGTCCATTCTAGAAAAAAAACCATAATTGACGCGCTTGTGTAGAATAAATATATCGATATATTCCACTTTGCGTACTTTCGTTCGTGCACTAATAGGTGCAGACTGTTCGAGAAGTGTGGTAATCACTTGTTCATGACCAGATCTTGCTGCACAGTGGAGCGGCGTTAAACCATCCCTAGTTTTAGCATCGATTTGCGCAGAATTTTCTAATAATACTTTAACCATGTTGTTTTTACCCCATTTCGCCGCTACGTGTAAAGGGCTTATATTATGCTGATAAAGGAAATTACAGGTATCAATAAACGTTTATTACACCCTTTATCGATACGAAATCCTTCGTACCTTCGCTAAGTAATTCACATCAGCTCCGCGTTTTATTAACAAACGAGCTATCTCCTCGTTTCCATAATGGGCGGCAATATGTAAAGGTGTGAAACCACTTTTCGACGTGACATCGGGTTTGTGATCGTTCTGAAGAAAGAAGCGAGTATTCTTTGACGCATAATTAAGAAGAAAACTGTATAAATATTAAATATCACTAACTGTACAAGTTATACAACTACAAAAGAAGTTAATTACTTTTATTACTATTTACCTGTAACAATAGATCTGCAGCTTTACAGTCATCTTTCTTCGCCGCGATATGAAGTGCTGGTAGTCGAACTTTTCCTTTAGAATCGTTTTCTAAAAGAACGCTGACAACTTTGTCATGTCCTTGTTGCATTGCCACAGCGAGAGGTGTAAATCCGTCCTGAAAAATCATTTTCTCAATTTACCATAACGTATGTAGATTACGCAAAACACGAAACGCTTAATGAAATAGCATTAATCGATACGCGTGTCAGTTATACAAGTTAATCAATTGCAAACATTCACCTCCGTAGCGAGACTTTGATTAGCTCCATTACTGAGCAGCAACTTAACGACTTGATCGTGATTTTCTTGGGCAGCCATGTACAAAGGTGTAAAACCATTTTGAGATTGGATATTAACCGCCGCACCATATTGAATAAGGATATTTGCTATTTCTGACTGACCAGCTGAAAAATTTTGATAAAAATCTCACTCGACAATATATATTTACAATAAACTGATAAGTAAAAAAATATTGGTTTACCGAGCGAAGCTATGTGCAACGCAGTGTTCCCTTTCTTTGTGGCTGCGTCGACTTTAGCACCCCTTTTTAACAATTCTGTTACTATTTCAACACGTCCATCTTTCGATGCTAAATGTAAAGCATTTAAACCATTCTGAAATAAGAAACGTAACATTTTAAGTACTTGGATTTGGAATAGAATAAATACTATTCAATAGACTTATAAATAATGCGTAATATTTGTAAAAAAAATTCTGTAAATTGTGTCGATATTTACCGAATTAGCTGTATTAATATCTAAATCGGTATCGAGGAATTCGATCACTTTTTCAAGGTTCCCAGACCGAGCAGCGCGAAGAAATGCTGTCGTGTCGTCTGCCTAAGTATAAAAAAATACATCGATGTTAAATATAATATTCATACTCGCATTATTAATTGATGACGAATCGTTGAAAATAGCCCTAGAAATTTGTTATTCAAATATTCTTATATTGAGAAAACACAAATCCAATTGAACATTAAAAATTAGAAACTTTCGTCTACTATTTTTCCATCATTCTTCACTGTTTATTGTACAATTCTGTAATACTCGTGTATGTATAAAACAGAAATTGCGTAAAATGATCCTGCAGCTGAATTTTCCTTGTACTTACACACCTGTCGTTATTAATCATTTTAAATGTACCAAGATCCTGGCCAAAAGCTCAGAGAATGACATCATTCTGACTAGGAAATTGAATATAAAATTTAAACCATCCGGCAGAGTAATACAATTATTGTACAAATAATGTAAATATAGTTATCTGATCAAATTGAAAATTTCAGTAGTATATGAAAATAATAATTGTTAATTTAAACAGTTTTAAACTGTTTTTTTAGTGCGAAACACAGTTCCTTAAAAATGTAATTTTTTTTTAACATGAGCGTCGAATATTATTGTTTCGTAGTAGAACAGGAACGTTCGTTTAAGTAGGTTTGATATTTATAACTCAGGTATGGAACTAAAGGTGCGTTTTTATTGCACTCGTTATCTGCATAAAATTTCAATAACATTGACTTTTCCTGTAACTGAAATAAATGATTTCTATTGAAGTGAGAAGCTCGAAGAAAAAGTGAACGAAGTGTAACTTAAAATCGTCAAATATCGGATTACATAAATTTCGAGAAATTTTATTTGCAATACGTAAACAAGTGTAAGATAAATAATATTCTTGTATCGTTAAAATATATCAGTAATAATTATGTGTATTAAAACACACACACACGCACACACATTTTGTAGCAAATGGAGTAAAATCTAACTTTTAATTAAATATCTCTTTTTTCTTAGTTCCTAGTTTTATAATGAAAAAACGCGACATGAATGCAATTCGATAAATGCGCATGCACATACACATGTATATTTTGCTAAGGTTAAAGTAAAATATTATACGGAGGCATAAGTTAAAATTATTATATTGCTGAACGTCAAAAATAATTACGAAAACTGATCGTAAAAAGTGTAAAAAGTATACAAGGTTAGGTAACATTAAAGAAACGTGTGAAACACATTTACGTAGATATACAACGCCCAATTTTTTGCTTTTTAAATTCATCTTAATGACGTAAACTTAAGTCTTCAAAATTCAAATTCAAACGATAGTGGAAACAGCCGATAGAAAGTTAGTACAAATGTTAGTAATAAGCGCAGCAAAATTAATGCTTGTAATAGAATCGTCACTTGCAAAGTGACTTTTCTTTTTAATCAGGATATCTTTCCATTAATTACATATACGATTGATAACATCGTTTAAAAAAGAAGAACGCGATAATTAAATTGAAAATATTAACGTGTATACACATAAACGAACAGATTTTTGTAATATATAGTATATTTGTATTCAATGCGGTATAAAGAAGTGTGGTACTGACCACAAAAGCGCTACTGTGTCATTTTGCAGAAGAGATGTAATTTTTGTACAATAAGGTTAGAATATTTCGAATGTATTTAATATACGTATATCATAAGGTGCAATAATTCTATTCATATGATAAATCACTTCGAAAGATGACATTTACATAGAATATAGAGTAACTAGTATTCTAATAAAACTTTCATTTCTTCGTTTATTTCGAAACTTAGGAATAACATTATTTTTCAACGATATATCTCACGGTAATTATTTTTAATATCATGCAAAAAGCATATGTAGTACAATTTGTTCCTTCAAATGTCATCGTTTCTGGTGACCTTCGCCCTATTAATATCTTTAATATATTCTGCTCGTTAGTATTTGATTTATCATAAACGTATAGAGCTAGTTGCGTTGCTTTAATTATTCTCGAATTGATATCCGCATCTAGACGGCAACAACTGGCTTATGAAACGTCTACCCTTCCTACATGTATGTCTCTTGCTTACAATCATCCCCTCCCACGACTTCTTTTTACTTCAGCAATGATTATCAAACGAAAATGTAGTTTCTTCTGTTTTTGTGCATTTACCGGCAAGCAAAGGAAATTCATATTGATAACGAAGTGTTACTTGAAAATTTCATTCGAGGCGAATTTTATCAATGATAGAAACGAAACTATTTTGACGTATCGTTCGAAGTTCACACCCTTCGATCAGTTGAAAGAGGAAAAAAATACCGGCAACTTTCCGGTACCTCGTTCCACGCAAAAATTATGTAGAATCATACCTGGCTGGTATTATCCGTAACCATTGTGCTTTTATAAGAGACTAGGCACTATTCTCCTAATTCTTTCACTTGTCCAGCTATTGCCGGACACGAAGGTTCTTTTTCTCAGCACGCGTTAAATCACCATTCATGCACTCCTGTGGTAACGCTAAACGCGAATAGGAATATAGGAGCCGCCCCGTATACCAAACTAAGGCGCAGAATCGAGCGGCAACGATTACGGGAAAAACAGGGGTTGCATCGTTGCCTTTCGTACCCCTTGCTATACCTGTCCTTGTTTTTCTCCTACCAATTCATGCGGTGTATCGGTCCTCATCATCGCTATGCGCACGCGCCTATCAAACTTGATCAGACGTACACCCGCACACGCACGCGTACACTTGCTCCATCTCTCTCCCATTCGCAACATTAGAGCCCCAGGAAAATTAGCCGGGTTTTACAGCGTGCGAATTATCCATACCACGAATATGTGTGGTATTTGATCAACGAAATATACAAATAGCTCTAATGGGTAACTTTATATAGTTCTCGTGTTGATATGTGTATGTATATATAATTACACCTGGTCTAATTATTTTGTATAATATAGAATTAGGAATTAATAATTCTTAATCGTTCGTTTAATTCACATTCTGAGAGTATAGCAGAAGACAAAAGAAATACAATACAAAGCTTCTTTTATACAATGTAATATTCATATAGTATGCAATAAAATATCACGTTAATAGAAACGCGTTGAAATATTCACCAATTCTACGCATGTGCAAAATTCGAAAGAAAAAGAAATACGAAAGCAATTACCAAGTATTTATCATTTAAATAATTTTCCACATTATAGGTTATATAAGCTTGATTTTTATAATTAATATAACCGTAAAATTTATAAATGCAGTATTTTTGGTAAAACTCGAAATTCTATTGAAACATTTATTTAAATATTGATTAATTAAACATTAAATTATTGATACATCAAACAAATTTTATTCGATAATATTTTCCGATTCATTTTCTACTGATGACAAGTGACAAAAGGATATAACGTTTCACATGGTTGTATCCGCACATACTGTAAACAATAATACTGCGATATTTTGAATTTACTAATACCATGTAATTCGAAGCTGCTGTTTTATTAATTTAAATATGTATATATATTTGTTGACTGATATATGTATTTAAATTATTTTTTCCAAGTTCATTAAAGATATATCCTATACAACTAACTGTTTAATTTGTATACTATGTGCGTAATTTTGAAATGTAACATAGCTTTCCATTGCCTGTATAAAATAATAAGTAAAATCTATCATATTATCGCGTATATTTTAAATTGCAGAAAGAGACATAAAAATATTATTAAAAATTTAAACAAAACTTGGATAGTGATAAGGTTAAAGAGAATTATAAAATGCAGTGAATAAGTGACCATTTATTAGTATTATTACATTTCATAAAATAGTATTATGTCTTAGAAAAAAGCGTTGAAAACATCAATGCAATGGCTGTTAGAAAGTAAAAAATTATCTTTTAATTCATAAACCTACATATTTCAATAAACTGAACGATTAATAAAACATTCTTTAAAGTCATATGTTTACAGATTTCAAGATCATCCCAGTGTTTTTAAATAAAACCGTTTATTTTCGTAACAAGATTGTAGAAATCTAATGCTGTTTTGCTATTAACGTTTCTTATTCAAAAGTGATTTAAAAATTTGTATTTTTGCGCTATGCAAAATCAATGCGCGTACTTTCACTTTTTAATTCGTTAAAATATATATGTTTTACTTAATGAACTAACAATACGATAATTATATGAATTTTCTAAAAATAGTTGTCAACTTCTTAAACACTGGAATACCGCCAATATTACAATATAAATATTGGTATTATACAGATATAGGTATTGTAACAAAAATTTTGTTAAGAAATAATCTTGTAATTATTACTTATTCAATGTTATCATTGTAATATTTGTTTAAAAAATCGGGAATATTTAGTTCGATGTGCACTGAAAAGTGGAAAGAAATTTTTAAAATGCTTTATATATTATGGTATATGTATAAGCTTTAACTCAAATATGTAACACATTCTCTGACAAATGTTATTCGCACACATTTTTACCTGGAACTTAATAATCGGTGGGAATGCCTCCTCTGTCGTCATTACCAAATAATAAACTGTGTATTTCGTTTGACAGACCTTACGTATACGTATATTTTCTACGCTCTATACTGAAAACGTAGGTCAGAGGATATTTTTAGCATTCTGTTTTATTCTCATGAACGCCTTTGTGGTGCATTTGCTTCAATGATTTGCATATACATATTTTATTTAAATCAATGAGACACATAAATTTTGTATTGTAAAATGTCGATTGAAAGTGCCTCTTCTGTAAAAATTTCAAACAATTATATTTAATATAAAAAATCTCTAATTTAAAAATTTTATTTCCAACTCTTTTTTTAAATAAACATTATAAACGAAACATGTATATTATACATATGAACATTTTCAAAGAATTAACATATATGGCAATATGTTTTTACTTTATCTTTATCATTGCACTTCAAGACGAAGATCGCAGGATAACGAAAAATCCTAGATGCAACTTATTACGATTACAAACAGATTTATAAGAAAAACATAAAATATTAACATAAAGTAATAAAATAATTAACAAATAAATTATACTGTCGTTACATTGTATTTCGCGAATATTTATGTAATATGCATGCAAATGAAAAAATATTTGTGATTTAACGATCTGTGAAGTTTTAGAATTATTAACATATAGCAATATAACAAGACTGCAAATAAAAGTCATTAACTCATTATGGGCATTAAAAGCATGGACATTATACTTGAAAAGTCATAAAAACTTTCCTTTTCACTACTTCATTGTAGTGTTATATTTCATTATATATCAGTAATTTCTAATATTCATATGAGTTGTTGACAATTTTCTTCTTGTTTTCACTCTGTTCTCTGTTTTTCTTTAGTTATTTTATTTATTTTTTCATTTT